GGTTATAGACTCGTGTTTTAATTTAGGGAGACAGTTGTTAAAGATGGACTAGAAAGCAGCGTCGTCATTTGTGAGAAGAATTCAGCGAACACAGCATGTTAGTTGTCTGTCATGTAACGAATTACTCCAAAACTTGGCCCCTTGAGACACAACAGCAAACAGACGTTTGCAGGTTTGGCAGAGCGTGTGCGGAGGAGCGGCACGTACCCTGGTGTTGGCTCCCACGTGCCCGTGAGGCCCCCGGAGCCCCGGAGATGGGGCATGCCCTCCGCCGGCCCCATGAGGATCAGACCCAGCCCAGCGGGACCCGCTGCTCTCCCTAACTGGGTTCCACGTCTCCCCCGCAGGTGCGTATAGCTCTGCAGCTGGATGATGGCTCCAGGTTGCAAGATACTTTCTGTTCAGGCCAGACGCTCTGGGAGCTTCTCAGCCATTTTGCACAGATCAGGTAAGTGTCAGAGGGTAGGTTCCAGGCTCTGCCACCCTCTGTGGCAGGGATGCAGCCACGATCAGCGGGACTGGTCTCGACCACAAGCCCGAGCTGTGCCTGCGCCGGAGGCTGTGCCGCTGGGCTTTGTGGCCCTGGTAAGAGAACTGGTGTGGGGAGACGGGCCGTTGTTCATCAGCTGTAGCAGCAGGTGCTGGTTGCCAGTGGCCTGTCTTTCTTGCTGGGTTTCCTGTGTGACAGCTGGTCATAGTTCTCCTGGACGAGCTTGCCAGCTTCTGTCTGGTGATTAATGGCTTAAACTTTGCTCCTCAGTGTGTCGAAACGGTAGTCTTTCAAGCTTTGGTTTTTCACTGTGGGACGAAAGTGTGTCTGCTTTTAAAGATCTTTGCCAACAGCGTGGAAGGGACCGTGGGAGAGTGTACTGGTTGCTGTGTGGCCGTGGGCAAGTTGCTTGCCCTCTCTGGGCCTCCGAGGGGTGATGTGAAGATGAGATGAGCTAATGTGTCTCAAGTGCTGGTGTCAGGGCCTGGCGCATGGTTTGTCTCTGTGGAAGGGGGGGCTCTGGGCAGGGCCCCCGGTGATGGGGCCTCACTGTAGGAAAGCCTGCTCCGGCCTGGTTGATCTGATCGTGGCGCCCACAGCCAGATTCCTGCTCGCTGGCCCACGCCGCCCGGATGGGCTCCTCTGCCCACCTCGTGTGCTGGTGGCCCCTCTTGCCCAGCTCCTCCTGTGATGAGACCCAGGGGTCCCTCCTTGCTCCTCCGACCCTCGGCCAGCCTCTGCCCTCCCGGCCACTCTCCTGAGAGAGCTCCCCGCCCCCACTAGGGTGACCCCACCCGCTGCCGCCGAGATGAGCACACAGGCCGCCACTTGCCTGTGCTGTCCTTGGCGCCTGCCGCCAGCTGGGCGGTCGGGCTG